AAAGGAACCCCACTGCAAGATACAGAACCCAGGATCAGTCAATAAGGGCACCCACTGCCAGATACAGTGCTTGTTCAGGAGTGACCAGGACCATCTAAGAAGCTTGTATATTCTTTGTGTTAGATTGTGAGCTGTGATTAAAACCAACACAGGAAAGCAGAGCCAGGAAGACTGAGTTCTGGTGGGGGGGGGCTATTTAAGATCAACAAATTCCCCCTTTTCATTTAAACTATTTTGACTTGAGCCCCTGTCGCTAGTAACAGAGCCCCAGTGCAGGTGGTTATTTTGTAGACTGGGACTACTGATAGGAAGAAGGAGTCTGCAGCCATTTCAAATTATCCTTGAGAACAGTTTCTAAGAAGATAACAAGCCTATAATAAAGTGGAAGAACTGCGATGCCCCAATAGTACACAGCATGACCTTGATCTTGTTTAAACAGTTCATCAAAGATTGGAAGGAAACACAAAATATTAGCAGCCAGGTAACTACTTAAGCTTTCGTTTTCCACATTTTCTATACATATACATATATTCACATATATAACTCTGTGTGTGTGTGTATCTTACAACACAAAGGAAAAAACTAAGAAAAAGACTGATGCTGTATAGACTGATTGATTCTCACCATTAATTCTAAAAAACTTGCTACAATTTGTCTTCTCAAAGGAAAGTTCTACAGTTCTACAACACCTATTTTGAAGCTCTGGAAACCCCACTAAATACTTAGCAATCTCCCTTCCACAGAGTACTATTTTCTCAGCACTGAGACAGCATCAGAATGCCTGATAGTAAAATGGTCTTCAACTGCCACCTGATTTTTGTCTGACTACTAGGAAGAGCAGGGAACCCAGCACTGGCAATCTCCAGTCAGAATATTCCTATTTCACTGACCCTTGCCTCATTTCATAATGGATTTTCCCTCAGCCCACTGCATACCTCCCAGGACTCTGAATCTGGACTAGAAGACAGAATACACTATATTTATTCGTCATGTTAGATCAAGACAGTGGCCTGGACCAGCAAAGCAGATTGATGATCAGGGAAACGTCTGCCAAATGCAGCCACTGTGGCTCTGCAGTTTCAGGGGGCTCGGCCAAGCCCTTACTACTGTGTCCTTGGTCAGGAGCTGCCTGTTCTCTGGCAGCTGCTAACACCAGGGCTCAGTCTCTCTTCACAACAGTGGGGTGTGAGACAAAAGTCTGAGGGGAAGTCCATGGTATGGAGGGAGTGACAGCCTTGAAACCTGCTAGCAGTAGCACAAGACCAGGCTTCCACCTCACCTCGTACCCGTGCTGAGCTGCCTCTATGACAACATCGTGCACTCCTCCCTGACATTTGGCTAAATTAACTCAGCTGTACAAGACACCGGCACAGAACAAGGTATGGTGGCCTGTGTTTGTTATCACAGCACTTGGGAAGCTGAGGCAGGAGGATCGCAGGTTTGAGGATACTCTGGGCTCATAGAGACACCAAGAAATAAGGAAGAGCAAAAACTCCCTAAACCAAAACAAGCAGACTCTACCTAAAAAGTAGTCTGCAGTGCCCCCTTGTGGCCAATCAGAAGGCAACACTGACATAGTCTGCTCACTCAATTATAAAGGAACCTGCAGCACCTGCTGTGAAAAACGGACTGGTTTTATCTTTTAAGATAATTGGATCTGACCTGAATATGGACAGTGTTCACGTGGTATCAAAAGCTGACGCCAGAACTCACAATAACTGAGCAAAGAGAGAAAACTAGCCAGATGTCCTCAACCCAGTTCTACAAAGTTATGCTGTCACCTGTAACAAAGTCGGGATTCAGTCATCACCCAAACTCTAGGGCACGATGAATTGTCTGCCAATGGGAAGGAGTGGTGGTATTTCCTCGAGTTATGGAGCAGCAGTGACTAAAATGTGCTCGAACAAGATCATGGATTCAATAGCGGATGAGGAAGGCCTGTAAAATAAGTCCAATGTACCTTGGTTGTCTGCCAATGGGAAGGAGTGGTGGTATTTCCTTGAGTTATGGAGCAGCAGTGACTAAAATGTGCTCGAACAAGATCACGGATTCAATAGCGGATGAGGAAGGCCTGTAAAATAAGTCCAATGTACCTTGTTAAAAGAGTATGTGTTTTTGAGGCTGGAGAGATGGCTCAGCGGTTAAGAACACTGACTGTTCTTGCAGAAGACCAGGGTTCAAATCCCAACACCCACATGGCAGCTAGCAACTGTATGTAACTCCAGTCCAGGGGATCCGACAGCCTCCTCTGTCCTCCACAGACGTTGCACGACATGGGTGCACTTATCTATTATTTTATTATTGTTATTTATGTGTATGTGTGCAGGCAAACACACATACACATAAATAACAATAATAAAACATTTAAAAAAGAGTATGCTCAATTATTGCTTTGAATTAGAAGTCAACTTTACTGTTTAAAATGATTTTTTTTTCCCCTGAGAGGTTGTTTGCTGGATTTCTGTTGTTAGTTTTCAAACATGACAACTCTTAACATTTGCTGTTTAAGGAGTCAGTGGCTTGGTGTCTTACATTTTATTAAGAGGAATCTTCTGTCAAAATCATTAAGACAGGTAATAAAAATACATAGCACCTCTTCTGAAGAAACGTTTTTAAAAAGATTTATTTTTATGATGTGTATATATGTGTCTGTGTGGGTCTGTGTACGTAAGTACAGATCCCCTGGAAACTGGAGTTGCAGGTGGTTGTGAGCTACCTGACATGGGTGCTGGGAACTAAACCTAGTCCTCTGCAAGAACAGTACACGTTCTTAACTACTGAGCCATTGCTCCAGTCCAGAAATATGCTTTTAAAAGACACCATGTCTAGCAAAATAAAAATCCAATGTCAGGAATGGACTCCCTCTTTTGAAACTGGGGTCCTATATATCCTTAAACACTACTGGCCATTGCCCCTGCTCTTGGTTACCCATCAGAACTTTACAGTAAGACCCTACTGCTGAAGACACTACATACATGAGCTATAGAATAAACAAGGAAAAAATCAAGCTGGTGTTGACTTCAAATCTTCATCTCTATTGGCTAGCTTTCATAGTGCTATGCATGCTACTGGAAGAGAAAATCAATCATCAACCTCACCCAGATGTGAGTCCTGCATGCTTCAACAACTGGCCTGGCAAGATATGCCATTGGTACAATAGTAGCAAGAATACTATGGGAGTAAGGAACCACCTTCTAATTGGATTTAAGGTCTGCTTCATAGGATGGAGCCCATACCTGACACTGAGATCAGGCCTAGGAACCTGAAGCTAGATAGCCCACAGGCCATAGGAGAGAACTTAATAGTTTTCCGCTAAATACAGTATTAAAGTGACTCCTAATGAATTATTGGTATACCCATAGATTGCCGCATCACTTAACCCTCACTGGAGAAGTTCCCTTATGCAGCACATGGTGATTAACACAGCAATCCACAACCAGGCAGCATGCTTATTCCTGAATAGGACACCTACATCAAACTTCTGCCTCCCAAAGCTCAGGGATCATTGTGGAAAAGGGGGCAGAAAGATTGTGAGAGTATGGTAGATAATCACAAGGAAATAAGAGTTTTCCAGATAGCTGGGAAGTTACTTATATGAACTCACAACAATGGTGGCAGCATGCACAAATACTATATAAGATCAAGCCATACAAAATCCCACTACAGATGTGAAAGAGTGGGTAAGAAACATCAACCCTATCTGAGGAATATTGGAAACTGATGGCTCCTGGGGAATAGTCTGTCTTGTTTAAAAGTGAGACTCTTGGTAGGTTAACCAGGCTCCAATGGATGGACCCACACTGGAGCATTTGGGGATACAAATTTGACTCGAGGCCTTAAAAAAAAAATACATATATATATATAGAGAGAGAGAGGGGGGGGCATGAAATTGGGTAAGGGGGTGCAGATATGGGAGAGGATCTAAATACAATAAAAATGTATGAAATTCACAAAAATTCAATTTAAAAAAGGGAAAAATGCCATGGGATCACATTATCTGTCCACAGATATGACTTAGGTGGCAGCATCAGGAGCTACTCAGAGAGGCAGAACACTTGAGGAAGTCTCAGATCATGTTAAGAGCAGTCCAGGAGGGTTTTAGTTCTGAGTTGTTTGGTGCCTGGGTTAATTCTCATTTAAAAAAAAAAAAAAAAAAAAAAGATATATACAAAATTTCCTCTCCTGCAATTTTCTTTTCAGCAAATAAAGTCATTTTTTTCTTCCCCAGTGCTGGGTAGGGGACCCAGGGCCTCATGAATGCTAGGCAAGTACTCTACCAAGCAAGCTGTGCCCATCAGTTTATGTTGTAAATGATAAAGAATGAACACATGGTGTCCACTGAGGTGGGACGTCAAATCCAGGAAAATTTTTCTGGACTTCTTTTGTTCTGGGTAGCTATGACTTCAGAATATAAAGTTTAGAAAGTTTTATATGCAAGTTTTGCCATCTGTTGGATCAGCGATATCCCCAGACTGTTAGGCCCAAGTGGATGTCAGTAGGAATCTCCATTGTGTTCATTACTATCTACTGGTGAAGGCTTCATATAGGCTCTGTATCAGGGGTCCACCTCCCTATCCAGGCTCCCTACCCAAGGCCCCTACGTGTGGGCTCAGGAGGCAGCTGGAGTAAGGAGGATGCGCTGTAGGCATAGCAGCTGCCAGCAATAAAGACTTTAGTCCCAGTACTGAACCAATGAGCAATCCATACCTGGTATCTGTTGTTCTGTGAGCACCACTAAAAACCACTTGGAATGGATGAAACAAAACTACCTTGATTAAAAAGAAATGCATTTCTCTAAGAAAATGGCTGTCAGCACAGGACTAACAGCATTCTGTACACAAGGCAACAAATCAACATGTGACAGATGGTGAATAACAGTCTGTGGAATTTCCAGAAATATGTCAAGCCCTGTAAGTGTGCATGAGCCATTCCAAGAATCTTCTTTTTTAAAAAGATTTATTTATTCGTTATTTTGTGTGTATGGGGGGTGTGCCTGAGTATATGTAAGTGCACCACGAGTGCAGATGCCCTCAGAGGCCAGAAGAGGGAGTCAGATCCCCTGGAACTGGAGTTACAGGCAGTAGTAAGTCATATGATGTGGGTACTGGGAACTGAACCAAGGTCTTTCCAAAAGTAGCAATGCTCTTAACCACTGAACCATCTTTTCAGTCCCCAGAGAAACTTCTCATGTGTGGTTCAATTCACCACAGTCTGTTTCACCTAAGAAGGAAAAGAGAGAATTATCTCAGTTACTGGGTTGGCAAGTCTTAAAAGTTCATTTACTCTTAGGAAGGACTAAAGAAATTTGTGACCTAAAGTGTAAAATTTTAAGTTAATTTCAGGAACTTTGGAGTCCTGGAGAATTGCCCAAGTTTGTTAAAATGAACACTCCTGAGTTCTGGTTTCAAGAGGTACAGGACAAAGACTAGGACACCTCAGTTTAGCAAGCATCTCTCCTCTGTATGATTCTGAGGTTACAAAATTTTTGTTTATTTTATGTGTATGAGTGTTTTGCCTGCATGTATATAAGTGCACCTGTGTTGTACAATGCCCCCAGAAACCAGAGAAGGGCATCAGATTCCCCTGGAACTGGAGTTATGGATGGTTGTTAGTTGCCATGTAGGTGCTGGGAATTGAACCTGGGTCCTCAGGAGAGCAGGCAGCGCTCTTAACTGCTAAGCCATCTCACCAGCTCCAATTCTGACATTTTAATAAATGCTATGAGGGTTGTTAACAGGCCAGTTGCTGTGGCTGCTGTAATGATCTCATTTAAGAATTTTTGAAGGTTTAAAAAGCAAAAACAGGGCTGGGGAGAGGGCTGGTCCAGTATTCACAAAACTCTTGAGTTCAATCCCTAGCACTGTATAAACTGGGTATGGTGATGCACATCAGTAATTCTAGCACCCTGGGGATGGAGACAGGAGTTGGAGTTCAAGGTTACCTTGGCTATATAGTGAGTTCTAGGCCAGTGTATGATACAGGAAACCCTATCTTTAAAAAAAAAAAAAAAAAATGTTCCCCAAGAACAAGAGAGCAGTGACTGACCAGTACTAAATGATACAGAGTCCAGCTGGGACTTTGTTCCTCCCCCCACCCCCTTTCTGTTGCAGCTGAAGCCACCATCAATCAAGAAATCCATATCCAGGAAAAGGTGACCAGGCAAGTTTGCAACCCATGATCTTTCTTTGCCTCTGTCTTTGTTAGGAAACATCTAAGTAAGGCCTGGCACAGGCTCTCTGCAGCTCTGGCCTCAGGTGACAGGAGGCAATGGAGACCTCCTTAGGAGAACTGCTGTCTCAAGAATATAGGAAAACATCAGGAAAACGTTCAAATCTTCACTCAACATGTAAATTAGCAGGTGGGCTTAACCCCTGTGTGGGCACTTTCTCAAGATACCAGCAGCTTTCAGATGCAGAGGGTTCTGTATTATTTGGAGAAATGTTATCTTCTGAGGCTGATCTGAGCAAGCCAAGCAAGGTAGCTACCAATGTGAGGATCCCTCTAATGCTGTGAGGCCCCCATGAGTGGTTCCCTTAGAATGTGGGAGCCCAGCCTTCATAGCTAGACCCATACAGTACCCAGACTGTGACACAGTACCAACAGGAAACGGCAGTTGGGGGACGGGGGCGGGGAACGGGGGGGGGGTCCCACTCCCAGACTCTGAAATGGCAATCAGCAGCCAAAGGCACCTGGTGACAGGGCAGTTTTCAGGGATCTTCCTTTCCTAAGACTGCCGCAGCACAGAGGCGGGGGCACTTTGCCCTAGTCTTTGATCTTCCCCTCAGGACTAGGGGCAAAGATTCTGTGTTATCTCTAATCTGCAGAAAAGTGCTTACCCAGCTGCATAACAGATTGGGAGCCTTTATTTTACTCACTCAGTGTAGAGACTTAAGGGAAAACATAATTTAATTTTGTTATTAAAGTAAGCACTGCCCTGGGCATGTTATTTACACAGAGATAACTGCACTTTGGAGATTGTGATGTCCCGGGAAGGTAAACTTTAACCTCGAAGAGCAACCCATCGTTCTTGCTGTCACTCTCCCTGATAATGTGGTGCTTGGTAATAATCTCACAATTGCTACCTCCATAGTTCTAGAAAGGAGGATGCTCAGCCAGCCCAGAGGAGGGTCAGTGGCCCATGCCTCTTTTCCTGCACATGTGGCAGCAAAATCAATGCCAGGACCCACTGAATTCTTTACTCTGATGGTTTGAGTCTTTGTTTCAATCAATGGGCAATCAGCAGGTGCTTCCTAAACACCTGCTGTGGGCCATGCACTGTCCTCAGCCCTGCTTATAATACTAAAATAGGAAAACAAAATAACCCTGAACTTCGCCACGAAGAAATCTACAATCATGAGGGGGGCACATAGTTTAACAGGGACTGTTCTACAATAAAATCAGACAGAGAATATGTCAGTGCTGAGAATTTGCACTCCAGAATCAGCCAAGACATAAAAGTCTAGCTTAATATTGCCACCAACCTCCTTGAAGAAAGTCAGTCATCACAAACAAGTACATGAAAAATGGAGAGGGGCCCCCAGGGCAGGATTAGGAGCCAGGTGAGGCCTCTGGGACCAGAATGCTGCAAGTTTAAATCCCAGCACCACCACGTCCTGCAGTAAATCTGGAAGCACATCTCTATTCCTCCGCATGGGTGTTCCATTTTACAGCCAAGCAAACAGTACGTGCCTCATAAGGGTGTGGTGAAATTTTAAGCTAATGCTTATGAAGCATAAGCACTGCACCAGCCAGAAATACATGTTCTATAGACTGATGTGATTACTGTCATCACCTCCCATCTGGCTTCGGGATACCAGATGTGCCAAAATTCCTAGTGTCACCTGGGAAAAGCCCTAGTCCCTGGATTCTGGCCTCTTGACCTTAATCCAGATCTGATCACCTCTTTCTCCTCTACCCTCAAATAAGATTTTATTTTCTTACGGTGCTAAGATCAAACCCAGGGCCTTGGGCTACTGATCTGCTTCCAGCCCTTAGTAATTTATTTATTTATTTATTTATTTATTTATTTATTTGTTTGTTTGTTTGTTTATTTATTTGTGGGGGTTTTTTGGTGGTGGTGGGGTGGTCTTTTTTTTTTTTTTTTTTGAGATAGGGTCTCCCAGTAGCTCCAGCTAGCCTGTAATTCACTGTGTAGACCAAGCTGGCCTTGAACCAGGCTGCCTCTGCCTCCCCAGTGCTGGGATTAAAGGTGTGCACTATTATTATTTTGTAATGCTGAGATTCTGAGCCAAGCCTCAGGGCCCAGTTCAGAGCCACATATGCAGCCCTTTTCTCCTCCATTCCCTCCAGTGGCCCCTCTGGTGTCAGTTTCAACACCTCTAAGCATCTAAGGCCTAGCAAGATAAAACACATCTCCCCACAGGCACTCACATGTTGTTGACAGGGAAAGGGTCACTTGCTGGCACTCAGATGTGGAACATCCACAGTCCAGAGCACCAAGTCTGATTCTTAAAAAAGGTCACCCCAAGTCACACCTGGACTCTGTTGAGAGCCCAACAAGCACTGCCTTAAAAAGGGGGTCAGTACTTTTCCTGGTGGCCAGACCTTCAGGTAGAGTTCAGGGGTTGTGTGACTTGGATGGAATTTTATTTTTTTAATTGAGCACTAACTGAAATTTGTTATTCCTTCAATTATGGTTATAGGTAACAAACCATAGTGGTGACAGTGTATCTATCTGTGACTGTTTCCAACAGCAAGAGAGAAATCACAAATCCCTTCCAATCATGTTGAAGTTGTGGCTGTGGCAAATGTATTAAAATATAGTCTTCAGTTTTCACTACTTTGATAGCAAAGTTACAGGTTCATCACTATATTTTTCCCTGTATATGTGTGTGTTGTTATGTGTTTGAAACAGGGTCTCATGTAGCTCAGGCTGACTTCAAACTCATTATACAGCTGGGGCTGGCCTTGAATTCCTGATTCTTTTTGCCTCCCATGACTGGGATTACAGGTATATCATTACTAGCTCTTATACTACTTAATATTAATTCAAAAGCTTACCAATGCTACATCACACATCTAAATATATTTTATAACTACATTTCAATAGAGCTGGTTTCTTTTGTTTTGCTTTGTTTTGAGCTTGTTTCTTTTGTAATCTTACTTATTTTATTAAGAGGGGTCCTAGCTTGTCATAGGAGCCCAAGGAATATGAAAAGGTTAAACGCCTTGTCTTAGAAGGCTGAGTGCCACCAAAATCAGCTGCATTATTGGAAGGTGACTGATATATAATTACTTACTGAAATGTGACATTAAAATATTCTTCAGGTGTCACTATTTTTGGTCCACCAAAGTAGTCCAACACCCAGATATTGGTTATATTTAATTTAGCAAAGAACCAATTATGGCTGGAAGGCCAAGTTTTCATCTCAGGATGTCGAATGAATAATGAATTCTTTGCAAAGTCCACTTCTGTTTCATTCACCTAAAGGACAAACACAACATAAATATTCTTATAGCAATACTATTTCATTTCTCATTTGCTAAGAATGCATGCTTCCAGCACTCCAGAGAGCCTGCCAAGAGCTTATTTGGTTGCAAATCTGACCTTAATTAAGAGCAAATGAAGGTAGCTTGAAGAAAACAGAATAATGATTTAAAGTTGGTAACAGCACATACAACCAGGTCAGAAACCATCAAGAGAATGGAGTCTCACTGCTCAGCAGTAATTCTGAGCTATCAGAACAACTGACCCAGGGCACTACAATGTTACCTGTGCCTGAGACATTACCCAGAACACCTATGAACATCTATACATGTTAAATGTGAAGGGCAAAAATGCTTAGAAGTAGACAATGGGACCCAAGAGCATTTGTTGCATTCCTCCTGCCCCTGACAGTCAAGGATTCTCATCCACAGAGATGTATCCACAGAGAATTTCCAGACAGAAGTCATGAGATACTTATTCATGATGGTCAGAAAGCAAACTGCTGGCTCGGCAATCAATCCATGCTCGTGACATTTCACTCAAGTGTCTTTTAACCTCTTCCCTCTAGGTCGCATCCCAAACTGTCCAAATTCACTTCCAGTTTTTAGTAGGGACACTCCTCTTATTGGCCTACTTACAACAATGTAAAACACGAAGACAAGGAGCCCAGACAGGTTAATATGGTACCATGTAAAACACAAGAGCAATGGTTGAACAGATGTTCTTTAGCAAGAGTAATTTAATGTAGGAGCCTTACAGCTGTGACATCTATTTGGCTCCAGAAAATAGTTCATTTGACTCCCAAGTATCCTACTGAAACCTACATGACAGAAAAACTGGCTATAACCTTTAGTTTCATGGAATTACTTTACATATTAGCAAATATTCTCACTGTGCATCCACTCATAAATCAACTGCATTTTAGTCTCAAAAGATCCCCTCCTTCACTGTTAACACGATGATGTTCTTTTAAACCCATCTCTCTTCCTGGAAGTAACTATTTACCTTGGTTACAGTTCCTGCGAGTATTATGTGAACACACAGGGGACTCTGGGGATCAAATCCATTTTTCCTACAGAAGACAGTCTGTGCCAAAGACATAGTCAGCGTAGCCTGTGGATTTTCCTGCAGAGAGAAAATGAAGGTCCTTTGATGTGAAATATGGTTTTGGGAGAGGTAATAAATATCACAAGTTGCATACAGTGTCCCTTGAGCTACATAGTTCCTCCATGAAACAGTGAATTGTGAAATGCCACCTTCCACTTGGGAAAAATTCTCCACAAATAAAAATGGATCTTGATCCCAACAAGAAGGTATGGAGGGGGTCATATTTTAAATTAATAAATTTTAGGAATTATTTTAACATTTTTTTTTCCTGTCTGTTCCATATCAGTAAGAATAATAGTATAGTACCACCCCAAACCAGGACTGGTGATAGGCCTCACTGAAGTATCTATAGGATTACACTCTAATAAGAAACTAGTGCAGAAAATACCATAGTTGCTCAAGCAGCTAGTTACACAATTTAAACAAGAAAACTGCTGAATCATGCTGCTTGGTTATCTCCTAGAAGCAGAAAATTGTCATGCAATCTCAAAACTGGACAAGTTCCTGGTTCCTGCTTCCCATTCCCTGGTAACAAGAGAACGCTTATCTCAGATTCAAAACATGAAGCAAACCAATTCTTAATTGTTCCTATTCAGAAAGTGGAATTGTTTACAGATTACTGCAAAATTCACACCTTGAATTTCAGGATACCCAGTTCTTTAAAGTGTCTTTGTGAAGAACTTTGTCAATTCACAATGGTCCATCAAAAACCGTCATAAAGATCTCTCAGAGAAATTAGCCAAGATATTTGCTGACTCCCAGCTATTAGGCAAGGTCTGAGAACTGCCCCCCAGAAAAAAAAAAAAAGAAGAAAGGGTTTCTCCCCTCTGTGACTTTAAGATCTGGCTGAAAAGTCAGACATAATCAAAACTTAAATAATATAAAACAAAAATAATAAAAAGGTCAAAGGCAGGCCTATCTTTCTGCCTCTGCATCCCAAATATTGGGGTTATTGGCATGCATCACCAAGTCTGGTTTATACAGTACTGGGGATCTAACACGGGGCTTTGTGCATGCTACACAAGTGTTCTACAAACTGAGCTAAAATCCCAATCTCCATAGGTCTTTGTACAAAGAATCAAACTGTAAGATTTCACTTATGACTCATTACCTTATAGCCCATCTTGGTACTATATTATCAGCCAACATCAACAAACATATCCCTAGAAACATCTGCTGTACAAAAACATCATAAAGAAAAAGACCATCAGGGCTGGAGAGGTGGCTCAGCAGTTAAGAACACTGGCTGTTCTTGCAGAAGACCGAAGTTCGAATCCCAACATCCACATGGCAGGGGATCCGACAGCTTCCTCTGTCCTCCACAGGTATTACATGACACAGGTGCCCTTACCTACATGCAGGCAATATACACATGCACATAAAAATAATAAAATATTTTTAAAAGAAAGAAAAAGACCATAAAGAGGACTATCCTGGTATTAAGTATAACTGAGCCTCACAACCTCTGAGAGATGTCTGGTATTTTACACAGGAGAAGTCTCAAACATGAGTCTTGTTCCTTCTAAACTATTTCCCCCTCCTCCACTGATTGGAAGGGAGAAGAAAAGTAGAATAGAAACCAACTTTGTCTGGTTAATTGATGGAATCAACACCGATCACACAAACTTTGAAGTGGCAACACCTTTTCAGTGCCATCATAGAAACCTGAAATCTAAGGTAGGTTCCTCACATGTTTCCTTTCTATACCTCAGATACCTCACTGGAGTCCTCCTACCTGCTGGCCTTTAGCTAGTTGGTCACAGGTGAGTCCCTGCACCTCTGAGTTTCAAGTGTCCTCATTTCCAAAATAAGAATGACAATATAGGTCCTAATTGTGTGTAGTGGTGGTGCTCAATCTGCCCCCTCCTCATCAGATCATCAGTGAGGGTTTGAAGCGGTAATGGGTATTGTTTTAGAATAAAGTGTCTTGGCATTATGTTTTCAAAACTCTTCCCAAGAGATCTACAGGCCAGTTGAGTATCATTAACAAAGGGGTATGTGATAGGCAGATAAAGGAGCCAAGTGGTCTGGGAAGATGGTGAATTGGGGTGAATGTGCCTAGGCTGAAGGGGGTGCATACTCTGTTCTTTTCATTTCTCAGAAAATGTAGCCCCCCCCCCCCAGTGCTGCTAGAGCCCAGCTGGCCTGGAACTCACTGTGTAAACCAGGCTGGCCTTGAACTCACAGAGATCTGCCTGCCTCTGCCTCCCAAGTGCTGGGATTAAAGGCGTGTGCCACCACACCTGGCTAGAAACAACATTTTTAAAGTAGAATTTCTATTTATTTAATTTTGTGGTGGGTGGGTATGGGTGGATGGGTGTCTGTCTGTCTGTGCATGAGTGTATAATGACCAGAGGTCAACTTTGGATGTCATTCCTCAAGAAGCTGGAGCCATTGTTTTTTGGGGTAGGGTCTCTCACTGGGACCAGAGGCTCACTGACTCAGGCTGACTGAACAGGGAGTCTCTGCCTCCCCAATGCTGGGATCACAAGTACATGCTGCCATGCCTGCTTTTCACATGGTTGCTGGGAATCAAAATCAGGTCTGCATGCTTGCACAGCAAGCACTTTACCATCTGAGCTATCTCCCTAGTGTCTACAATCTCAGTTTTAAAAGGCTGTAACTAATTCAAACATGTTTAAAACAGAATTTGTGTGGGCTGAAGGACACCCTGAAGCTCATGGGTCCCAATCTGTGGCCGGTACTTTGAAGACAGATGGATCTGAGGTGAGCTAAGGGTTTGGTCCCTGACTTCATGCAAGTTTCTTGACCTTAACCCTCACAGATTCATCTGTAAAACCAGGATAGTCAAACTACTTCTTAGAGTTACAATGAACAGAAATGCGAGGACTAAGGAGTCCCATGGCATAGATAGGTGCTTAATTAAACATCAGTTTCCCTCATCTCACCTTTACAAGTTTCACCAAGTTTTCCCACAAAGACCATCTACACAGTCAGGCCCCATTCCTGGGCACCTGTGTGTATTTTATTTCCCAGGCTGTGTCTGTGAGGTCCACCAGAGGTACCAGGTTGGCTCTGCACCAGAGGGTAGGCAAAGGGCCAGGAGTCAGCCCTCCCACCAGTCCTGACCTCAACTGATAAGACCACCATGCATATGGATACCAAAAGAATGCAGTCAACCATAACGCTGTGTATTAACCTCCTACTGAAAATAGGAAAGGTCGGAGAGATAGGAAAGGGTACCCACCAATCTGTATGTTTTGTAAAACTTTTAAACAACAAGAGCCCAGTTCATGGAGAGACAGTGACCAATATGACTCAGGACAACTTGATGGGAGTGAAGTCGGCCACGTGATTCACCCAGTGGAAGTTCCCAGTGGGAACTTCCTGGTAGTTGCCCTAACATCCAGGATGCTAGTCTCAGCCTAACCAGCTCCAGGCAGAAGAGACAGAACTTTCTGAGCCGGCTTCAAAACTCGGGCTAAGAGTTCGAGGCTCTCTGGGCTGCCGCCGGCCCCGCAACGTCCGGCCCGGGAAACCCGCTCACCTGCAGGTTGTTCACCGTCATCTGCAAGGGGCTCAGGTACATGTAGGGCACGCCGCTGCCCACGCCCGGGGGACCGTCGCTGACTGAGATGACGTCACCGAAGGACCGGCCGCGCACCGCCTCCAGCGTGGAGATGGTGGCCAGCGCGCCCCAGTCTGAGACGTGTGTCACGAAGCGGGCCACGCGCGGCGCGTCATCGCGGGGTGGCAGCGGCGGCAGCAGCCTGTCCGTGTGCCAGTCCCCGTGGTCCCGGCCCCCGCGGCCCCGGGCGGGCGACACCAGCAGTGCCAACAGCGCGGGCGCCAGCAAGGCGGTGAGCAGCGAGCGCACTGACCCACGGGCACGCCCGGCCATGGCTGCAGTCTGCTCAGTCCCGCCTGGCGACCTTCCCCCGGGTTACCAGAGTGTTCGCAAGGGTACCGCCCCCCCCCAGAGAGCCAATCAGAGTCTGCAGTCTGCAGGGGGCGTGGTCCCGGGGCTGCCCTGCAGCCCGGTGGAGGAAACTTTGCTGGCTCTACTTTTAGGGCCGACTGCGAATGTCTAAATGGGTTGCTTGTTTTATTTACAGAAGGATAAGCAAAGTCTAGAAGAAATTAAGTAACTTGCATAAGGCACATTGCTAGGAAAAGACTGACTGCTTCATGCACCACCCTTTTAGATGTCTTCGCATGTACCTGCCTGGCATCCTAGAAAAACTGCATTTCTATGATGCGCTTTTCTGTTTACTCATCTTTAACCGCTAAGAGCGGTAAGCCGCGAATAGTAAAGGGCAGAAACACCAACGTGAAAGAACGTAAAACTACTGGCCCAGGGCTATCTCAGATAGAGACACTGAGACGTTGTTAGTCTGTTTTCAGCATCCAGATTAGGACCTGTTAAGTCATCCCGCTTGCTTTTATCAATGGTTTCATGCATTTATTGTCTTGGTCAATCCTCCAAACCCTCCGCCAGGGTTACTTCCTTGGGCTGCTTCTAGGACTCTCTCCTTCGTTCTCCGGTCTGCCCCCACCCCCCCACCCCGGGAGAAGGCCGAGGGGAGGGGGGCCGTGTAAACATGCACATAGATCTAGCCCACATGTTTTACCATTTTAAATTTCAGTCACTATTAGAGCACAGGCCTGCATCTTTAAACCCGATTCCACAGCTTGAATCAGGCCATGCCTCCCTGCCACTCTCTAGAGGACATAGAGCTCAGAAGCAGTCCATGCTGTGCTCTCAATTTACGGTACCTGAGTCCTTCATGCTCTTTGTCATATAGGAGATGCTGAACTAAATCACGTGATGTGAAACTTCCTGCCACTCCTAAAAGGTTACAAAAAGCCAGAAACCGTTTCTTTGTTCTGCAGATTGGTCCAGACTCCTCAGAGGATTCCTGGGAAAGTGCTCACAAGGATGCTCTCTAAAGAGGATCCTCTGGCCTCCCCTAACCACCTCTTTATGAGTCTTACTCTTAATGAAGCTCCTCTTCAGTCTTTAAAGGGAAGCCTCACCTTCCTTCTAAGGTCCCATTATATTTACTGCTTCTAACATTCTTCTTCCCACCTCCAGGCCGGGTCATGACCTCCAGACCCTCTCATTCTAATAGACCTCATTAAAGAGAATTGTGTCAGCTTCCTTTCTGGACTGACTGCTGCTATTCATATTTTATAACAGTCACATATTTTCAGTCTTAATTTTTTTGATCTGGCCTCAGATCTACAGTTCAATTGTTATAAAGGCCAGGTGGTGGTACCCATTCGAGGATTTGTGGTTTCCTTGTTCATCTGAAGTAGTTTCCTTCAGTGGCTATAAGCCAGTCTTGTAAGCAAGTGTAGACAACAGATGTATGAGCCAAAGCCTCGCCTCCACTTCCTGTCTAGAGCCTAGTCTCCCTACATTCAGCCAACTTCTGAGGCTACTCAGCAGAACTTGTGTATCAGCAACAAGAGTTGTTCTCTAAACAGGAGTCTTCAGTTCCCTCTGGTAGCTGGTCCCTGTCACTGTAGCTTCCACATTAGGCGAAGAGTAGTATCAGCAGCTGTCTAAAGTTGGTTTGCTTTTCAACCACTGAATTTGGAAGAACTTCAAGCTAGATGGAAAACTAAGTGGGAGAAATTTGAAAAGAGGACAGTCAGGTATATTGCTTTCAAAATAAATATTGTAAATAGTTTGAATATTTGCCTATTACACATTTCATCCTCAGTCTGTTAAGGAAAAGACACACAACCAAATTTGGAGTTCTAACCTCATGTTTGCCACTAGCAAGTCAAGTGTCTGTGGGCCTTTTGTCTTTCTTTTGGATTGTTTTGAGACAGGAGCTCCCTGTAGGCCCAGCTGGCCTGGAACTCACTATGTAGACTAGACTGGCCTCAATCTCACAGAGACCTGCCTGAATCTGTCTTCTGAGTGCTAGGACTAAAGATGTACAATAAAGCTTTTTGTGTTCATTGCTATCCGACTTATTACTGGCATACAAAATAACAAGAGGTCCTTATTACAGCTCCAGTACAAAACAGGTGTGTAGAGCTTGCTCGTACACATCGCAGTATGAGAATGGGGTTTACAGATCCTCCAGCTTTAAGCACATCACCACAGTGTTGTCCTTGTACTTTCTGTTCCCTCTCTGCCAAATGCACTTCCCTCAGCATAATTGTCTGTCCCCCTGTGGTGGTTTGAATGAGAATGTCCCCCAGAGGCTCCAATATTTGGACACTTGGTCCCTAGTTTGTAGCACTCTTCGGGGGGAGGTCTTGGAACCTTAGGAGGTGTGGACATGCTGGAGGAAGCATGTCACTGGGGGTGGGCTTTGATATTTCTTAAGCCTTGCCAGATTTCTAGTCACTCTCTACTCCCTGGGCCTGCTTGAAGATGTGATCACTGAGCTTTCTGTTCTGGCCATCTTTCCCACCATGCCTCCCCTGATGTTATAGACTCTAATTCCATAAGACAATTGTAAGACAAATAAACTCTTCCTTCTATAAGTGTCCTTGGTCATGGTGTCTTACCACAACAACAGAAAAGTAATACACAACCCCCCCCACAGATGTCAGTGGTTCAGATGTCACTCTTCAGAGGTGCCTTAGACCCTAGCTTCTTAAACTATGGGTTGGGACCCCATAGTATTAGGGTTTCAAACCACAGCAGCCCTCCCTGTCTCCAACAGGGTCTCATGGACTTCGGATTTCCCAAGCCCCTGAGAAAAGGGACCCGAGCTGGTCTTTGAAGTCAAGGGAAGCAGACTCTTCTAAAAGGCAACTTGCCTTTCCTTTGATCTCTGAAGACAAGATAAGCAGATTCCACCTTTTAACCAGAGACTTCAGGAGCCGCTTTAGTACAGCAGTTTTTCCCTTATCTTAAGAGGACAAAAATAAACACTTCCTGACCCAGATCCTGGCTGGCAGACGGAAAGGAGCCAGTTTTACAAGCCCCGCTTTTCCTGCTTTCCCCCCTAATTTTTTCCAAAAAACTTCTGCCTTCTGTACCCTGAAGCCCCCTTATATAACCCCAGCTCACAATCCGTGGGCTGACATTTTCCCTTCCCTGAAGGGAACATGTCCTGTGCGAAATAAAACTTTATCCCACTGAGAGTTTTATCTGTGTCTTGGTGCTTTTCCCCGATCTACTCTATCTGTTTGTTCTCCAGCTATTTTTTACCTCTCACATAGGAGGTCAAGTAACTGAATGTGTGGGTCAGAAAAATCTAACAGTAAAAGGTTTCTGAATAGAGAACTACCAAAATTTAATTGAAAATCAAACCCATAACAAATCTCAGGTGTTTCTGGAAGTACTCACCTGTGTTGCATTGGGACCTCACTGCAGCCTTGGTTCTGAAAAACATAGTCTGAAATTGTATTTAAAGAAAAACCACAAATGACTATAAACCATTCATTTTGTATTCTAGCCAAAAATGATGTATATTTAATCTTATCTGTAAGCCACATCTTCATTTACAGGATTCAAATGTTCAATTCTTGAATATGCATTGAGTATCAAGTACTTGCTCAATATATATTTGCTTATTTGAATGACTAATCATTACACACCCGAATGGCAGTTATTTTAAACTCTGTCTTTCAATAATCAATCTGATATCACATACATGTGGGAGATTATCTATCACTCCAAAGGACACCCTATATTAATGGGCACATTTGGTGTCTGCTTTGGCAATGTCATGGTGCTCTTGCTGCTCCATCACTAGACACTGTGTCAAAAGAGTCAAGACATACTCAGCATCTGCTGCATAGTAGAGGTTCCACAGAAGTGTGTGTGTGTGTGTGTGTGACAAATATTAAATTCACATTTAGTACATGTCCATTTTCTACAAACCTCACGCTATTTGAATTACAAAGTGCCAAATGCTCACATCTTCAAACAGGCACAGACAGCAGAGAGCAACTGGAAATCCAGCAAGGCCTAAGGACTCTCAAAGCCTGCTCTCAGTGATGTGCTTCCACCAGCACGGCCACACTCCCAAAACAGAACCACCAACTGGAGACAAAACGTTCAAATACTTGGGGCCTGTGTGTGTGTGTGTTTGTGTGTGTGTGTGTGTGTGTGTGTGTGTGTGGTGTCGATCCACCACAGCTGGAATTACAGGTGGTTGTTAGCTGCCTGGTGTCGGTGCTAAGAACAGTCCTCTGGAGGAGAAGTTGTGCTTTTAACTGTGACCACTTATCCAGGCCCCTCTTATTTTTGTAATAAATATGAAAACTGTTCTTCAGAGAGGTGAAGGTATTGGGCCAAGTACAAAGTAGACCACACTCTAGCCATCCGTGTTCTCTATAACTAATTTCCTGTGTCTGATTCCTAGAACCTCAATTAAGAACCGCAATTAGGGTCGGAGCGCCATGGCCCACGGGGCCCAGGTGAGGGCGGCCTGGGGGCGCCAGCCTCAGGTCTCCCGGCGCGGGGGCGGACTCCTTCGACGCAGGGCTGCTCTCCGGCCGCTCGGCCGCCCCACGCCCGTCCAGCGTCCATTGTGAGATCAGGCGGCGGCGCGTCGGTCAGGCCGACAGGCCCGGAAGCGGCCGCCGCGGCCAGTAGCTGCCACCGCCGCCGTCGGCCCCTTCACCGGCTGCCGGTGTTAGACCTACCCGGGAAGGACGAGGCCGATGCCGCTGGAGGTCCCGCTCTCTAGCCGCTCCCGGTGAAGGGCCGATGTCCCATCCCGCCCGCCCTCCGCTCATACCTCCCTGGCGTAAAGCGCTGCGGGGCTGGACGAGCAGGGGAGGAAGCACCCAGGCGCCCATGCGGACACCCCCTACAGATAGGCTGCATACAAAGTCTTTCTGGTAGACACACGATATGCTCTCCGTGGGTATTTCCTATTAAATTATTTTTATTACTAAACCAACTAAATCCTTACAGATTTTCTTTTTCATTTATTTTTATTTTTGTGTGACCTGGGATTCAAATCCAGG